TCATAAAAAAAATATAATTCTAGCTTGTGCTCTACTCTTGGGAGGTCATACGTAAAACGATCTAAATAGTAAATAAATGAATCGTTTGACTGTAACACCTAGTAGCTAGCATGCCACGGGAATGACGTACGAGGGTTGGTTGCGCAAGCCTAGACAGGAGCAGTCAGTTTCCCGGAGCTGGATTCGAACCAGGAACCTTCCGATCGGTCAAACTTGGCCGCCAAACTTGTCTTGCCAAAAAAGATCACCACAGAGAGACTGACCACGTCTGATTGGAGGTATTCGAACATGCGGTATCGATTAGACTACCTCTTGAGGTTCACCTGGCTGAAGGAGAATGTTGCCTAAGAATTCCCGAAAATTACAGCCGTTATGTTAGCTTATTGTGGGTATTGGGCATACACGTCACGTGACTTTAAACAGCTCCCCTATGCGACAAGTCTCCTTCTCCCACTTCCCGTCTGGATCGGTCAGTTCTCGATTTCGATTAGTCCTCTGGTTTGACCTCCATTCCAATAATATGCTGCCGAAAAGTGCACTGTCCCTACAACCTTCCCAAGTACACTAGATGGTGAGTTTAGTGAAGTCAGAATTGGCATTGCTACGAAGTGATCAGCTGAAATCCGATCGATGCTGTTACGGTTTAGGCTTAAAAAAGACTATTTGTGCTGCTAGGCCAACGTGAACCTGTTTAGGATATTGACGGTGTTAAGTTTCCTAATCAGTCCACATGTTTGTTCTTGGCTGGCGACCCCCAGTGCGCTTCCTTTCAAATTAGGATGGCTGCCCTTCGATACCTGGCTTGAACTGGACATCTTGGTAAGACAGCCCCTCAACTTGGTTGAAAAACTAGGGGTTATTCTACACCAAACTGAATTCTGAGTAACCGATTGAACACAAAATTGCATGGAGACGCAACCATGGCAATTTCCACCTGTTAGCGTAGACCGTTTGCACTGGGTTTCCTGAAGTTTACCTCACCTATCGCGCCTCTCTGTGAAGCGATCAATTAAACTAAATGCTCGTAAGAAAAATCGTTCAGCTGTAACAACCATTCGTTGCCTAGATGCCATGCCACCCGAAGGAAGTAAGAGGGTCGGGATACTGCCAGGTTGCCCAAGCCTAGACAGGAAAAGTAGACGGACGGAGGTCGGGTTCGAACCCCCGACCTTCCGGTCAGTAAATTCGCGCTTTAATCACAGGTGAGGATGGGGAAGTGTGTCCCTCAAGAAAGGTCGGTATTCTGTCCAAAAACATCCACTTGAATTCTACTTCGATTTATCGAACATTGGTTTCACTTTTATGAGGTCAGAAAGCAAACAACACTAGATGGAACCAACCATTAGCTGCGTTGTACTTCTCTGAAAGCGGATTTCTGCTAACTTCCAGTTCGTTAAAATATGTAAGATTCTAATAATCCTTAGCTGCATATGTGTCAAACATACACCCAACTTTATCCGATATTGATGTACGTAACTCCATCGATTATCAAGTTTTTGAATACTAACATAAGGTACGCTGAAGCATTAGCGAAATGCACTCATTTGCAAACTAATTTGGCGTTTGTGAGGGACTCATCTGGAACCCAGCTGAACCTCTCGGTTTTGATGTTTCCAGTAGAACATAAGGTTGACGGAATCTTGGGGAGTGGGCGCCTACCTGATGAGCCCAAAGTGGAAGGGCGAAGCCGGTCGTGGGTTGTCAAGGGGTTTTCAGCAACCTTATGAGTAGTATATTACGAATATACATGTGTCGCGATGTCCCGAATATCGTAGCGACTGAAACACGAGGCGGCCTGGTGTAGCACATTCAGCAGTTGTCTGGATACATCACAAACGAGCGATTCAGCTGTGTTCCAGGTGAGTCTCTCGCAAGACGAAATTTGTTTGCAAATGAGTGTATTTCGCTAAGCTCGTGTAATCTGGTTTCAAGCTGAACATAAGGTTGAAGGGAACTCAGGGACTGTGCGCCCACCTGATGAGCCCAAATTGGAAGGGCGAAACTGGTCGTGGGTTGTCAAGGTGTTTTCAGCAACCTTATGAGTAGTGTATTACTCCGAAACACTCTTGCCTTCTATCCACCAGAAAACCTGAGAAATGCTCCTTGGAAGGTTTGCCGGAGCTGTAGAACTCTTGTCTGTAAAAACGGACTATGACCATCTTTGTCGGGCATCAGTGCAACATACCTTCTTTGTCGTGGTACTGTTAACAAAGACGTCCGACTTTCATAGGCTACGACTGCGTTCAGATCCGCGATGACAATATCACTGTGGAGCATAAATATCGGCGCGAAAAGGACTTTCCGGACCCTTCTAGGAGCATTTCGGACCAAACCGTGACTAAAGGAGAGGAGAGGCTCCTTAGTTAGTGTCACTGCAGGCTGTAAAACTATGTTTACATAATCGGAGAACAGCAGGCATAACCGCAGCTAGCTCTGCTTGAGTGTGAGTATCGTTCAGGCCAGTAGCATTCCAAGCATCAGGTGTACATTGGTGCTTTCGATGCGATAAGCAGGCACAAGGTGAGCACACTAAGTGATGGCCACAGACCTTAGGTAGCGCCAGTTGACATTGCCCACTTCCATCGACCAATTTGCAGTATCGATCCATTTCGTATGTTCCTGGTGTACTTGTTGCTCTGATCGTTACTCAAAATACGGTATTGATTTTTCCTCTGTCTTCGGTTCTACTTCAAATACACTGACAGCTGTACGCAGTCCAACAGGTTTCTTTAATTTTCGCATAAATCAGGTCAGTATATCTCTGAAAAAGCAAAAATTTTCTGATGTCTCAAGTGCTGCTAGATATCGATTAGAATATTTATAGAGACAGATTTAAAATACTGGGTGTGGCCTTTCTTTTGGTGATAGTCCCTAAGTTCGACTCCATCCACTGGCGGATATCTCGCTTCCTGACGCCCCTCGGAAGCGATCCTTCTTCAGAGTAGTCTATGCCCCGAGTTTTCGCTCTGTTGCTGAAACGAGTTCTTCGCTAATATACCCAGACGTCCACTGGTTGAAGTTTAGTTTTTATTGATCAGTTCAGCTTCTTTTATCGATTTTTTAGGATTCGCCTATTCGTCCCTTCTAGGAACGATGTTCATCGGCGACTGTCAGTCTGCTATCTACCAAGTGACAAACGATCATAAAAGTGTCACTCATTTAATCAGAGTAACCACTGGTTCAGGCGTGGCATACACTGGACCTTTGTCACGAAGAGAAGGACCTTACTGTGGTGCGACAGTTTGTGTATCTTAGTGATCCATTGAGCTATATTGGGTGTTTCCGCAAGACACTCACAGAGTCTCTCATACCAGGCTGGTCAATGGTTAGAGGTCTGACGAACACAGTCTCTTGGCCCCCTAGGTTGGGGATTTGAACATATTTGGCCACGTGTTCTGTAAAAATGGTATTGCACTCGCATTTCTAGGCAAACACCGCTACCTGGTGGTCGGGCTTTTGCGCTAAATGCATTGGTTGAGGTGTAGGCGTCCTAGCGGCATCCCAACCCACGTCCGATCATAAACTGCCACATCGGCCGTCGCGAGGTACTATCGGTCGGGTCGCCTTACTCGCCGCATACAGCACGGCGGGTAGGTGAAAATAGGCTACTACTGAAGCCCTTGTTGTTGCCCTTGTTCTCATACTGGACTCGCTTGGCATTGATGTGTGTTGTGTCTTAGATACAAGAACGCAAGCACAGTGATTGAGCCAACCACCGCCTCACACTCCACCCGTTTCCGGCTACGCAACTCTGGCGATCTCGAGACTGCCGTGGTAAGATGCGCAGGGGTTGATATCGTCCTCAGTCACCGGGCGGAATGATCCTTGCTTAGCTTGTACGGTAGCGGAGTATCAGTGTGGAACACTGACGTTATGATGATGATGATGACGATGATGATGACGATGATTCCGTTACATCAGGAACATACTGCGGTGTTTTGAATAGTGTACCAGATGAAACTTGAGACGGCATTCATGCACCATACTCAGTTGAAGAATATCATAAACAAGAGTCTCCGATAGGATCCCCACATGAATGTACCGTCACCCTTAACCTGTCGTACAGATTAGTGCGTTTCTTCGACCACTACAGAGTTTTGTTTAACTGTACTTGCCTGCTTAGTGCAATGTCTTGAGAATAATCAATATCTTATGAGCCTTTGGATCCTGGACCGGCAAACTTTAATACTGCACTTCCGCTTGAGGCCTCTCTGTCTACAAGTTTACATTGGACCATGTTGCTGTCTAAGTGGTTTAGGTTGAAAGAAAGGTGCCGCCATCTATTCATTCGTGTTAGACAGTCGGCAGTTTGCTACTTGGTGAGGATGTAGACATTCTAATCTGCTGAAGTCGAATGCGAGCCAACCGACTCAGTAACACACAGGCCTTTTCACGAGGAATCGCTGCGTCACGTCAAGCACCAGGATATTTGAAGAACGTTGAATAACGTTAAAAGGAACTCCCAAGAAATTTACAATATTGTCAGAAATTGATAAAGGGCCATTGACTTCCGTTGGAGCTGTTTTTCTAGCTTTTGAAGAAATAAGCAGAGATTAAGTACATTCTCTCAGCTTAAGAACATGGTGGCCTTGCAGATTCTCGTGACAAGGTGTGTTCATCTTTCTGGCAAGATGACTAGCTGGACCCAATGACTGACTGTCGATAAAGCAGTTTTATACAGCAGCCATTTGAACAAGAAACAGAGTTTCATGGATCTCAGTTATACTCTCTAATAAAGCAGCCCAGCGGCGACTGTGAGTCACTATTTGGACAGGCAAGGCAGCCACATTATCTTGGAATTGGCGAGACGTACTTAAACATACTACTGAATACTAAAAAGGGTTAGCAGAATACACTCATTTGCAAACTAATTTGGTTTTTCCAGAGACTCACCTGGAACCCAGCTGAATCTCTGGTTTGTGCTGTTTTCAGGCAACTGCTGAATGTGCTGTACCAGGCTGCCTCATGTTTCAGTCGCCACGATATTCATAATGCCCTACTCATAGGGTTGCTGAAAATTCGTCGACAGCCCACGACCTGTTTCGATCGGTTTCGGTAGAATACAAGGTTGCGGTAAACTCGAGGACTGCGCCTACCCGGTGAGCCCCAAGAAGGGCAAAACTGATCGTGGGCTGTCGACGAATTTTCAGCAACCTTATGAGTAGTGCATTACGAATACTCAGGGTTCTTTTCGAACCACTGTTGTACACATTCCCGATTGACACTGAGGAACTTGAGGCACCTCGGCTTGTTGCTCAGTCCACATCAGACCTAGTGTGAACAGATTCATCAATTCAGTCAACAGACTTTCACAACAGGTACTTTCTGCTTTTACGTATGGGGCTACACACAATGTCGTATCTCTTTCCAGGCTTTTATCGCGAAGTTTAGCCCCTCCTTTTGTATACCGGTTTAGTCAAACAGGTAAGTAATTCTGGCCCGTTTGAAGAAAATTTTTTAAAAATTTTTCTGCCGTTTCGGTGCCTAGCTGCCATGCCACTTGGTGGAGGCTCAAGGGCTGGAATACTGCGAGGGTGTCCAGGACTAGACAGGAAAAGTCGACAGTCAGTCAATGGTACAGACAACCATGAGATGGAATTCAGTCCTTTACGTGTTAGACACCTTTCAGTTAAAGAGGCACCACCTTTGGTATCGCAATTATGCTATAAATATGCTATAAACGTAATGTTACTCTGACGTAGGATCTTAGGGATATCCAAACATGAGTCGCGAACCAATGCAAGAAGCACTCAATTGATAGTGGTTACCTTACACGTGGATTCAACTTGTCCATTCGTATTCAGTAGTGTAAATTTACACGCGCAATTCCTTTGGCCTGAATATTGATTTGAGACCCTAATAACTGTGTATAACAAGCGGCTATTTCGAACTCATTGGAATCGGAGTGAGCCCCGTAAATCGATAGTCACAAGAAAGACCATTATCTACAAAAAAAGGTTCCTTTCGTACAACAGCCAAGTTTCCCCGACACTATTGATGAAACCTGCCGCCCCTGCGGTCAAACGGTAGTCAATTTGGCAACTATTGATTGGTCTATTCAAACATGTTTGTTTATTGTCGAACATTCAGACGACAGTGAGGGATGTTCGGTACTATGTCCTTGAACACAGAGTTTTGCGGATTTTATTCAAGTCGGTTTTTCATTTCCGCGTTCAATGGCTTGTAACCGCTGAATGCGCCTTTCTTGTTGACCAAGCCCATGTGGCTTTCTCTTTCCCACTGTTTTCAGATGGTGCCATCTTTTGAAGTTGCCATCAAATCAATCGATTGAGAACTCTCTGACGTAACCCCTCTCCCTATTGCGATAAGGTAGTAAACTTGTAATTAACACGCCCAATAATGCAATGTTCCCATCAGTAGTCTTGTATTCTGTGGGTGTTCGCTACCTCACTTCTTTAGGAAGAATTATAGCTTGTATTTTTATGTTGTGTCTTGCAAACGGTATTGCCGCTGTTGTGTTGGTTCCGCACACTATGCTACAACCGAAAGCACGGTAGCTTAAGATAGCCTTTTATGAAATCATATTGAAAATTTAACAGTCATACTTGTAGGACCAACACCAAATTCACAAGATTGAGCTAGTCTTCCTGTTGGGGCCACAGGTGCTGACCCGAAAACTCTCGACCCTGATTGGCTTGTATTCTGACCAATCAAGGCGTGACTTCGCTGAGTCCGTAGCCAGATCCATTTTGGACCGGCTGGCATCTTGTGTAACTGAACACGATACAAATGTGTGTCGATGAGAGAACTCTTCAAAATATTGATTGATTTTGTCTAAGTCAACTTTTTCGACTTCCTCAGTTGTTTAATTCATTCTGGTCATCTAAATAAGTCCTCTTCCCATGTTGTAAGATCTCGTTCTGTTGTGCGCACCGGCGAAAAAAGTGAACGGCAACCAGATGGCTTTATTTGAGATGTCCAATCCATAAATCAAGGTTTTCTTTCAATCAATGAAATCTGTCGCCTGATCGCAGTACACTTCCTGGAGTATTGGAGATATTTTTAGATGAAGTGAAGGGATAATGAACACCTTTGTCCATGTCAGCGTCAGAATATGCCTGCATTCCTGTTGAGTTTAGGGACACCGGTGGATGCCTAACTCTTGCCTTATTTTGAAGCATTTTCATTCTCCAACAACCCAAATGAATGCTTTCCAACTTCTTTATTGGCAAGACATACTACTGGTAAGTTGCTGAAAACTGAACGACTGTCCAATACGAGTTCCACCTTTCTTTGGCTCATCAACTTGATGCACTCTCTGAGTTTTTGTTCCGTTTGATTCCAAATTACACGAAGGTTGCCAAATGCATTTAGTTACTTGACAAGTTGGTTTCAACGTGAGACTGAGCTAAATACCGACTGAATCTTCAAAAGATGCCTTATATTTTCATGAAGGAAAGTACTCACAAGTTTGCTGAAAACTATTGGACAGCCCACGACCGGTTACGCCCTTCCACTTTGGGCTCATCAGGTAGGCGCAGTTCCTGAGTTTCCATCAAGCTTATGTTCTACTTGAACCCAAATTGCGCTGTTTTCAAGAAATACACTCATTTGCAAATCAACTTGGTTCTCACGAGAGACTCAACTGAATCTCTCGTTTATGTTGTTCTACAACTGAATGTGCTGCACACGGGCCGCCTCATGATTCAGTTGGTACGATATTCGAGATATCGCAGTATATTTTCATAAGGGAAACTACTCACAAGTTTGCTGAAAACTCTTCGACAGCCCACGACCAGTTTCGCCCTTCTTGGGGCTCATCAGGTAGGCGCAGTCCCCGAGTTCCCATCAACCTTATGTTCAAGTAGAATATAAGATTGGCGGAAACGCGGGGACTACGCCTATCTGATGAGCCCCAAGAAGAGCGAAACCGGTCGTGGGCTGTCAAGGATGCCTTATATTTCTTCTGGGACAATATTCGAGTATGTCTTCTTGAAGAAGGCCCAGTCATGTGGAGAACATCACAAGCGACAGATTCAGGTGTGATTTATTTGAAACAATCCAACTAGGTACGCAAATGAGTGCACGTATCGAATTTCGTGCGGCTTGGGTTCAAGTAGAAAATAAGGCGAGGGAGAACCCTGGAAGATGTGTGTTGTCGAGGGTTTTTCGGCGACCTTATGAGTAGCACGTTACATCAGGAACATACTGCGGTGTTTTGAATAGTGTACCAGATGAAACTTGAGACGGCATTCATGCACCATACTCAGTTGAAGAATATCATAAACAAGAGTCTCCGATAGGATCCCCACATGAATGTACCGTCACCCTTAACCTGTCGTACAGATTAGTGCGTTTCTTCGACCACTACAGAGTTTTGTTTAACTGTACTTGCCTGCTTAGTGCAATGTCTTGAGAATAATCAATATCTTATGAGCCTTTGGATCCTGGACCGGCAAACTTTAATACTGCACTTCCGCTTGAGGCCTCTCTGTCTACAAGTTTCCAGGCTTACCTGTAGTTCTTAACTTGCCTGGTTCAGCTATCCGTCACATGACCACAACTATTACTCATAACAGGTCTACAAATATTAGTATGCGTATGAATCCCGAAACGAGCATAGACAACCCACAGAAAACTGACATACCTACCTTCGAATTGCATCTGAATATTTGACAATGAATCATACTACTGAGTCGCCTACTTTTTGGTCGAAAACAGAAAACAGACTCGAAAGTACCCATTTTTACGTAACTCGATGAATGGCACCTTGAACAGACTTGAGTAAGGATACGTACAGATTTAGAATTCCCGCTTAAGTGGCTATGTAGATGCTTATTACTCACACACTTATTGCAGTAGTATGTGGCCAACGGTCTTTGTTCGCAATGTACTACTCAAGTGAGTGCATTTCGCTAATTTCGTGCAACCAGAACAAGGTTGACTGTGCCCACCTGATGGGCCCTAAGAAAGACGAAACCGGTCGTGGACTGTCGAAGAATTTTCAGCAACCTTATGAGTAGTGAATTATGAATGTACATGTATCACGATATCTCGAATATCGTAGCGGCTGAAACATGAGACGGCCTGGTGCAGCACATTCAGCAGTTGCCTGGAAACATCACAAACGAGGGATTCAACTGGGTTCTAGGTGAGACTGTCGCAATAACCAAACTGGTTTGCAAATGAGTGCATTTCGCTAATACGGTGTTTTTTCAGTATCATGGGAGTTCCCCGGCCTGACTAAATGGATCGGCGAATGAAACAACTGATGAGGGTGATTGCAGTAGTTTGATTGCCAACAGATGTGGCGATCTTTGAATATCCACATGTGAACGCAGTAGAATCCATGAAACACCCCCACAAGAACACTTGGTTGTCAATGACATCAGAGAAGTGCCACCAGAAAGAATCGATCGGCCATATATCACGCGTGGCTCCATTCCGGTAATACTACCGTATTTGCACCCTCGATTTTTTTGCTGATGAATGATCACGTAAGGCACATATTAGTTGGTACCCTAAAGATATTTCAAAGTGGAAAAGCACATTGCCTTCTGTGTTAAGACCCGTTTGAGTCACAGTATTCTTCATAATGATCTCAGTTCCATTTCAAACAAACTTTCTCGAAACATGATTTAGCGTTTTTTTTTCGATGTAAAGCGAAACCATACATGATTTCTATTACACAACGTGATCCGGTGATGTTAAAAGTCCCGGGGAAAGTAAACTCCTCTCAACTAGTCACGTGGGCCGAAATCACTGGGGCAATAAAGTCTCCTTGTAGACTTGAGAGTTCATTCCTGTAGGATATTCACAAACGCAGTTTTTGCCTATTGACGTACGGCAATCTGTTTATCGTCCTCCGTCGTCACGTGACTCTTTCTTGGAGCATGTCCGGAGAGACTGATCGAGGAACGATATACACTTGATGTTGAGATACAGCCCCCCCCCTCCCCGAAGACACGTTCTGCTAACTTCGCCTCATCTATGTGTTTTATATTCTTGTGGAAGCTGACGTTTATACGGCCATCGGAAAGGAAAAAATCAACCGCATGTCGCTTTACAAACCACTTGTTACCGACTTTTGCCGTGAAATGGTGCATACATGTGGGCTTCAAGCCCAGTAGGAAAGGTGATTTTTTCCGAACGAAAGACCTTGAAATCACGAAGGTTCGATGCAACTTTTGCAGCCCAACAAGGCATCGCATAGTATTATTCATCTTGTTCCTTTGAAGAAACAAAACAAGTGTGAACGCGGCTCTGTCATGTGGTGTTCCTTGTAGAAATAGAAACTTCCACGATACCTATCAAGCTGAATGGTCGATGAGTCGTGGCTTCGTTGCGTAAGGCCTGTGCAGTAGCTCTTACAGACTAGTGTTCAGTAGATTTGTTTCAACGAAGCGGACTAGAATTCATGACGTCACGCAAGATGGATCAACTAGTATCAGATGATCACGTGATCATTTAAATTAGCCTGTTCACTTGTGACATTCGTTCATGGCTACCCATCTTGAACAAAGCTCAGAGGATGAGGTGCTATGAGAATACCTTGGTGGTTTGTCGGGAAATCACTTGCTCGCTTTCCTTAAATTACAAATTGGTGTGATTTATTTGAAACAATCCAACTAGGTACGCAAATGAGTGCACGTATCGAATTTCGTGCGGCTTGGGTTCAAGTAGAAAATAAGGCGAGGGAGAACCCTGGAAGATGTGTGTTGTCGAGGGTTTTTCGGCGACCTTATGAGTAGCACGTTACATCAGGAACATACTGCGGTGTTTTGAATAGTGTACCAGATGAAACTTGAGACGGCATTCATGCACCATACTCAGTTGAAGAATATCATAAACAAGAGTCTCCGATAGGATCCCCACATGAATGTACCGTCACCCTTAACCTGTCGTACAGATTAGTGCGTTTCTTCGACCACTACAGAGTTTTGTTTAACTGTACTTGCCTGCTTAGTGCAATGTCTTGAGAATAATCAATATCTTATGAGCCTTTGGATCCTGGACCGGCAAACTTTAATACTGCACTTCCGCTTGAGGCCTCTCTGTCTACAAGTTTCCAGGCTTACCTGTAGTTCTTAACTTGCCTGGTTCAGCTATCCGTCACATGACCACAACTATTACTCATAACAGGTCTACAAATATTAGTATGCGTATGAATCCCGAAACGAACATAGACAACCCACAACAAACTGACATACCTACCTTCGAAGTGCATCTGAATATTTGACAATGAATCATACTACTGAGTCGCCTACTTTTTGGTCGAAAACAGAAAACAGACTCGAAAGTACCCATTTTTACGTAACTCGATGAATGGCACCTTGAACAGACTTGAGTAAGGATACGTACAGATTTAGAATTCCCGCTTAAGTGGCTATGTAGATGCTTATTACTCACACACTTATTGCAGTAGTATGTGGCCAACGGTCTTTGTTCGCAATGTACTACTCAAGTGAGTGCATTTCGCTAATTTCGTGCAACCAGAACAAGGTTGACTGTGCCCACCTGATGGGCCCTAAGAAAGACGAAACCGGTCGTGGACTGTCGAAGAATTTTCAGCAACCTTATGAGTAGTGAATTATGAATGTACATGTATCACGATATCTCGAATATCGTAGCGGCTGAAACATGAGACGGCCTGGTGCAGCACATTCAGCAGTTGCCTGGAAACATCACAAACGAGGGATTCAACTGGGTTCTAGGTGAGTCTGTCGCAATAACCAGACTGGTTTGCAAATTAGTGCATTTCGCTAATACGGTGTTTTTTCAGTATCATGGGAGTTCCCCGGCCTGACTAAATGGATCGGCGAATGAAACAACTGATGAGGGTGATTGCAGTAGTTTGATTGCCAACAGATGTGGCGATCTTTGAATATCCACATGTGAACGCAGTAGAATCCATGAAACACCCCCACAAGAACACTTGGTTGTCAATGACATCAGAGAAGTGCCACCAGAAAGAATCGATCGGCCATATATCACGCGTGGCTCCATTCCGGTAATACTACCGTATTTGCACCCTCGATTTTTTTGCTGACGAATGATCACGTAAGGCACATATTAGCTGGTACCCTAAAGATATTTCAAAGTGGAAAAAGTACATTGTCTTCTGTGTAAAGACCTGTTTGAGTCACAGTATTCTTCATAATGATCTCAGTTCCATTTCAAACAAACTTTCTCGAAACATGATTTAGCGTTTTTTTTTCGATGTAAAGCGAAACCATACATGATTTCTATTACACAACGTGATCCGGTGATGTTAAAAGTCCCGGGGAAAGTAAACTCCTCTCAACTAGTCACGTGGGCCGAAATCACTGGGGCAATAAAGTCTCCTTGTAGACTTGAGAGTTCATTCCTGTAGGATATTCACAAACGCAGTTTTTGCCTATTGACGTACGGCAATCTGTTTATCGTCCTCCGTCGTCACGTGACTCTTTCTTGGAGCATGTCCGGAGAGACTGATCGAGGAACGATATACACTTGATGTTGAGATACAGCCCCCCCCTCCCCGAAGACACGTTCTGCTAACTTCGCCTCATCTATGTGTTTTATATTCTTGTGGAAGCTGACGTTTATACGGCCATCGGAAAGGAAAAAATCAACCGCATGTCGCTTTACAAACCACTTGTTACCGACTTTTGCCGTGAAATGGTGCATACATGTGGGCTTCAAGCCCAGTAGGAAAGGTGATTTTTTCCGAACGAAAGACCTTGAAATCACGAAGGTTCGATGCAACTTTTGCAGCCCAACAAGGCATCGCATAGTATTATTCATCTTGTTCCTTTGAAGAAACAAAACAAGTGTGAACGCGGCTCTGTCATGTGGTGTTCCTTGTAGAAATAGAAACTTCCACGATACCTATCAAGCTGAATGGTCGATGAGTCGTGGCTTCGTTGCGTAAGGCCTGTGCAGTAGCTCTTACAGACTAGTGTTCAGTAGATTTGTTTCAACGAAGCGGACTAGAATTCATGACGTCACGCAAGATGGATCAACTAGTATCAGATGATCACGTGATCATTTAAATTAGCCTGTTCACTTGTGACATTCGTTCACAGCTACCCATCTTGAACAAAGCTCAGAGGATGAGGTGCTAAGAGAATACCTTGGTGGTTTGTCGGGAAATCACTTGCTCGCTTTCCTTAAATTACAAATTCTGGTACTTCTGGCTGTGTACAAATTTACACGAGTAAGGGTTTGACATGGGAGGCGTCAACACCTGCCCTCAACCGTATTCCTGTAGCAAATATTTAAGATGTTCTGACGAAACATTTGTACACTGAAAAAATGGACAGGACAGAGATTGACGTGAACAACTGCGCGACTAAAAAAACAACATTCACGAAAAAATAAAAGTTGATGCCCTGTTTCTGGAACCAAAAAAACTAATCGTCTCGGTTTGTTTGTGCCGAAGTGTTAGACGTTTTGTCACTGAGTGAACTTCGCCACGAATATTTTACCTCTTACGTCGACCGGTGTCGACCGCGTTCAAAAATCGTTGGTCTCATCATAGTTTTTTTCGTCTAAGTGTGCTTATTAATCGATTTCAGCGAATCCAAACGCGGCCTTAGAACGTGTGCACTGCAATGATCGTTCTGGTCTGTTCGATACGAGGGCTTATGACCGTGTCAGTTTGGGCACGCGACAGTCTGTCAGGACCAAGTGCCTTTCACGTGATCAAACTGACTGACCCAGTGACAGTCGCCTCGACTTATGTGAACCGTATGTACAGCGCGCGACCTGTTTTTTTTTGGGGGGGGGGGTTGTTCAGCCCTTTTCGGCTCAGATTTTTCCAAACTGTTAACAAATTCCACCAACGCCGTTGTTCACTAAATTGTGGCCACTTCAAACTTCTTGAAATGGACAAGAATGTTGGGGAAGGGGCTGTGAAAAGCAGTAAAGGACACTAGCAACTAGGTCCAAGGAAAAAAATAATCCTGTATTTTTTATACTTAAATTTCAGTGTTTCCGCGTTCGGGGCAGTGAACTGGTCGGCGTTTCACTTCCGACTACCCCCTATGCGACCATTTTATGGGCCTCCTATCAACATAAACCGCATAGTTTCGAAAAAGTTTCTCTTTAGGGAATAATGAACAGCACACACCCCACCAGACTCATGAAGGTTTCGAACCCATAACCTCCTTTCGGCCACGAGTGACTGATCAGCAGTGCAATTAGTTCTCAGTTCGACATCCTTCAGTCACGGGATCCACATCACGTATTCTATGGGTGAAAGGAGGAAGGTCTTAGCTGCGGAGTTGTTTATTAGAGAAACACCAACTGAACAGTTCCAGACTATTGGACAGGGGTGTAAAACTCTCATATGCATCTTGTTTACAGAACTGAATATCCATCTTCTACTTGAACGCGCCTTCCTGCCCTTTTCTGGACATTCACTGACCATTGCTCAAATCCAAGCAAATGCTACAAAGTGACTCCAAAAATCCCGTAATAGATCCCACTTTTCAATAGACGCAAAGTGGATGTACGGGAAAACATACTACTCGCGTGCACCCCATCAGTAGTAGCACCGTTACCTAGGTAGCTCTGAGGAACGATACAGTTCACCGGGTGACCCTTTTCTGGACATTCACTGACCGTTGCTCAAATCCAAGCAAATGCTACAAAGTGACTCCAAAAATCCCGTAATAGATCCCACTTTTCAATAGACGCAAAGCGGATGTACGGGAAAACATACTACTCGCGTGCACCCCATCAGTAGTAGCACCGTTACCTAGGTAGCTCTGAGGAACGATACAGTTCACCGGGTGAGTGGAAATTTTAGCTAAAAAGTCGCCATTCGATGAGCCAATCAACACGTGATCATACGAGGTCAAGGTCAGAGATGTTCCGCAGCTGAACACAACTATTTTGGGTGGAATTCTCCTACTATATGCTGCTGTGATGTCAAGCGTGGAGGTCCTCAAGGTAGTTGGGCAATATGTTTGAAGCCCACACCGCGAATGACGAACGTCCATGAATCTGTTATCTGCTTGGGTTTACTACTTGGTGTTCCGGACTTGTCTTTGCCAGACTGTTTTTGTGCTGAACTGTTAGAATTATATCGAAATAGATCAGTTGAAAAGTTATCGCCAGCTTATCACTGGCCATTGTGGTGCCATTTTGGCTTCCAGCAAATAGAATCTCTCCATCTACATGCGATCCCCGACAAACTGTGAGCCATGTCGCGAGTTCGGACTATACGCGAGGGATACTCACTGAATTTCTGACATATGGGTACCAATGAATGGATCTTGAACATCGCCCATGTTCTTTGCAGTTCAAGGTCTGTGATCAGCGAAGTGTCCTTATGTTCATTTCGCATCCTCTTATTATGCATCATGCCGTTTCACATGTTTCGTATATCCCGAGACTTGAAAGTTTGGCTTTTTTCTTAGCAAGATGAAACTCGCCTAATGGGACATTGAAACAGGACACGAGCCTAGTGACCGGAAGATCCGTGGCTCGAATCCGAGCTCTACCTCTGGACTGCTCCTGTCTAGGCTTGGATGACCTGGCTGGACGTCTATTCTCGTGCTTTGGTCAGCTAGGCACCGAAGGGGTACTGCAGCTGAACACTTACCATTATTTTCACTGTTTCGCTACACATCCCAAGCGAATACGTGTATACACGGCTATGTAGAAAACACAGTCTAAAAATCGTTTGGATGTAGCACCCTTTCGGTGCCTAGCTGCCATGCCACCCGAGGGAAGCACGAGGGCCAGGATACTGCCAGGTTGCCCAAGCCTAAACAGAGGAAGTCGAGAGGCAGGGGTCAGGTTCGATCCACGGACCTTCCGGTCAGGGGCACATGTACCGAGAAGTCGGGATCTAACAATTTGGGGATGACCTGTCGTCCCAACTAGGCAAAACGCCCAAGGGGATGGATGATCAACGCCTTACGGATGGACTGGGGTCGTTTGACGTTACCTATCCTTCAGGAGAGGGTGGGAAACACACATATTAGTTCTTCCGAGCTGCAGGGAGATGACCCATTAGAAAAAAACAGGTAACGTGTAGCAAATATACACTCATTTGCAAACTAATTTGGTTTTCCGAGAGACTCACCTGGAACCTAGCTGAATCTCTCGTTTATGATGTTCTCAGGCAACTGAATGTGCTGCACCAGGCCGCCTCATGTTTCAGTCGCTACGATATTTG